TTGAGCTGTTGTTCAGCATCTTAGCTGTAGAGGGCAGTGTCACTGGCCCTCATATGTGGGATCCGAACCGGGGCCCTCTAGCGTCCCAAGCCAGCTCTTAACCAATGCACCACTCGGCCAGCCCCTATAGTACTATTTGACTATTCAGATATTTTTTTTTCCAGCCATCTGGTTTCAAGGGCTTATTAAATTCATCTTTAACCAAAAAAAAAAAAAAAGAGTCCTTTTTGTGTTATGGAGATGAGTAAGGGTGGGTAAGTTATAAGCATTTAGATATATAATAAATATTTACCATAAAGCTTTCATGCTAGAAAGGCTTACTTACCTTTCAAGACTAGGGACAGGGAGCACAATTTACTCAAGATGTTAAGTATTTGGGAAAGAGTTTTAAATCATCCTCTAAATACTGCCTTTTTTCAAAGTAAAACTTTTGGGGAAGACAGAGACTTCTGTCTTCTAGAGCAGTGACACTACCAAGTTTTGTTTCTGTTCAGGGATTCTCTTAAGAAAAGGAGAGACTCCTTTTTGGGGATTTGTAGTATAAACCACTGTTTAAAGCCACAATCGAGGCATCCATTACTTTACAAGAACTTTGAATTTTTAAGTGGAAATGAGAACCTCAGATTTCGGTGAAATAACAAATTTATAGTATTTCAACTAAATAACCATAGAAATAGATATTTGACCGAAAAGCATATAGGCACTTGGGGTGAGAAGAAGCAGAGGAGGCAGGGAACTGCAAATCTGCAGATAAATCTGCAAGGAAAAAGCCTGGAGAGGGGAGAAGGGGAAGGTTAGGTCTTTTGAAAGAATTTTAATTTTCTGCTGGGCCACAAAAGAGAACCATTAAAAAATTTCCTCTTTCCCCACTAGTGACTTGAAAAGATCCAAAGGTGAACAGCTGTAAAGCAATTGCTTTGAAATCTAACAAGATGTAAAGCATTGCTAGTTACTATTGATTTTCACATTAGTCTGGGAATGGTTATTATAAGAGTAAGCTTTCCATTTGAAAAATATAGAATTATAATTCGAGCGCACCTGACAGAGAGTCAAGGGCAGTTGGGGACAGAGAGATGTAAGGGGGAGGGAAACCAAGCATGCAAAGGATGTGGCCTACTGTGTTTTAAGTGTTGAAAAATGGCAATATAAATTCAGTTGAGTCTTTCCTCAATTTTATGGCAAAAATAACGAAAAATTTTCCCCAAAACGCAAACAACAAAATCAGTCTAGTTCTGCTTACTGCTTACTTGACTCACAATTGTAGGAAGGAAAAAAAGTCTCCTTAGGGCCTAGAGCTCTGCCCACTTTCTTGAGGTTTTAGAACCTGTGGGCTACAACACCTGGTCTAATCTCACAGAACTGCTGCTAGCTGTTTGCTATTCTGTTCAGGTGAGAAACTGCCACAACGATGACTGGTCCAGGTAAAGGTGGCAAAGGGCTGGGTAAGAGAGGCACCAAGCCTGACCGGAAGGTCTTACTGGAAATCATTCAGGGCATTAGGAAGTCTGCCATTCGCCATCTAGCTTGCAGAGGTGCTGTCAGGTGCATCTCTGGGCTCATCTATGAGGAGACTTGGGGAGTGCTCAGTGTTTGGAGAATGTGATCCGCGATGCGGTGACTTACCTGGAGCTCGCCAAGCGAAGCCGGTCATGGTCATGAAGTGGTGTATGCTCTGAAATGCCAAGGCCGAACCCACTATGGTTTTTCCCACTGAGCTGTCCCTGCGACTTACCTCCAGATTTTAAAAGGCTCTTTTTATGATCCCCCAAAAATATCAAGAAAAGAGTTGTTAATACTATTTACTGTGTGAATGTTAGATCTAAATGCAGATAGGGGCTTTTGATGGAGCGTCTCAGATGCATTAAATGTAGTAAACTTGCCATCGAAGCAACTGCTCTGGCGGATGATTGGGCTTGGGCGGAGGACAGGTGTAAGCAGTCAGGCTCTGAGTGGTGAACCCAGCACCACCTGTGGTGCCTGAGTACTTTGGACTCTGGGAGAAGGAAGAATCTCAACAAAATCCAAGTTTTGGCAGTGGTAGAGGGCTTTTAAGAGCCCAGGCCTTTGGCTCTGAACTTTACATAGAGTGGCTTCTATGTAAATCAGGGCTAGCGGATTTACCTCCTCCAATTGGAATGGAGGGCCACGCGTCAGAGAGGGCGGTTTTTTGCCAGTGCTGCACCCATGCCTGGCCTCCTGGAGCCAGGGATGTGTCAGCGTCCAATAGGAAAGCGCTACTGCAGGCAAGTCAGAAAGCGCCAAATGCATCCTAGTGAGGCGCGCTGGAGCCTTGCTGAGTGTGAATATTTTATTTCTTCGCTGACGTTTTGAATTAGAGGTGACCAAATTCGGATTCTGAATGCAAGGCGGCAAAGTGCGGGCGAAGATCGAGGCCGGGAAAAGTTCACAGCCCCTGCACTGTATGTGGACCATCTACACAAAGCGTGGAGTGAGTGAGCGTCCGGATCCCAGAGTTCCCCGGCGGCGGTGCTCAACCCCTGACCAGGGAAATGCAGGAGTTAACCCACTATGCTGCCAGGGGCACAGGGCAGCGTCCTGCCTCACATCTAGGCCCAGTTTTTGCTCAGGAGACTGTGTCGTGTGATCTGGTCGCAGCCTGGCTACCGAGTAATGGCCCTTTACAGAGCTGCCGGCTGGGCTGTGGAGGGGCGATGGGCGGCGGGTTAGGTTCCATACTAATAAGTTCAATGAAAATGGTGTGCGTGGAGGAGCTGTACAGTCGCGGGGTCCTGCCCCGCGATCCCACTGTGGACCAGGCTAAGCGCAGCGCAGGGGCGCCCTGTTTGAGGGTATTTTCCAGAGGCAACGGCAAGGGCTGGAGATGGGGACCCACCTACCGTGGAGGCCAGCTGAGGATGCTAGGGAGTGGAGGCAGGACTGAACTCCGTTTGATGGCCTTGCTCTATTCCTGGCTTTGTCACTAACTAACCTGTTTACTTGAGGGTTAGGGAAGGGGCTTAGAACCCCCAAATGCGGTGTGATCTCATGCAGCTGTGGTAAGGTCACAGTGCAAGGCATAACTCAGGTGTTTGTGGTGATGCTGGCATAAACAAACGTGCTGTGCTGCCAATCATATAAAAGTATAGCACATATAATTTAATACTTAATAATAAATGACTTACTGGTTTATATATTTACTATACTATACTTTTTATCATTATTTTAGAGTGTATGCTTTCTACTTATCTAAAAAAAAAAAACTCGTAGAAGAGTATTACACCATCAGCAGCCTCATACCCCTGGCGTTTACCATGTCTCTTGATTGCATCATTTTTCTTGTGCTTGATTTAACCTCCTGTTGTTTAGTACAGTAACATGCTCTATGGGCTTGTAGCCTAGGAACAAAAGGCTATATACCATATAGCCTAGGTGTGTAATAGGTGGTACCACCTAGGTTTGTGTAAGCACTCTATGATGTTTGCACAATGGCGAAATTGCCTAAGGACACATTTTGCAATGAGTTACTATTATGAATTACCACTTTACAGATGAGGAAACCAATAGGAGGTGAAAGAACTGGAGCCAGGATTTGAACCCAACCCTGTTTGATCCCACACCTTTTGACCTTAACCCTTATTTGCCACTGCTTCTGCCATGGAGCCCTCCCCCCCATCTCTATTTGCTGACATTTTGCATCCAAGTACTTTCTCCTACTCCACAAAGACTCAAGTATCAATGTATTCATGATGCTGCTGTTAATTAAACTTCTAGGGCAGCGAGACAGTCCCAGAAGCTCAATTTTCTTTAATGCAAGTGGGGAAAAAAAATGAGTTACTTAAAAGGAACAGCAGTCTGGCACGCTTCCGTGCCTTCATATGTGTTGAGTGTGAACGTATGAATTTGAGTAGGCGGAAAATGTACCTATTAAAATTTCAATTTAGTGTGAATCAAATTATTGAGGATGGAGGCTAGAACCCCAATGAAGCACAGAAATAAGTATTCTTATGACAATTTAAAATATCTATTCCTTAATTATTTAACTTACCTGGAATTTAAAAAAAATGTTCTTTGTATTTTTGGCAACGGGCTAGATTCTTTGTACCTATGTAACAGAACTTATATTCACTCTTATAGCATAGCTATTTTTGTTCATGTTTGGTGCTCTTTCTGAAACATAACCAAATAATTGGAGCAAGGAAATATTTATTTTTGTCTGATTATGAGTCCCATGGTAGTACCTAGTCCTGAAGTAATCATATTTTCCAAACCAAAATTGAGTCACAGAATTTGAGAACACAACAGAATATCTGAAATTGAAACTGAGATTTTTTTTTTAACTTGACTAATAAAATGCCTTACTACAAATGTTTGTTAATAAAGAACTTAATTTAAAGCTTCTCTATAATGCCTCTCTTACAATATGAATAGACGTCTGATGAAATTAGATCCTGTAGCAAAGTCATCTCTTCTGAACTTTGAATATTTAATGTCTCTTTTGGTCCAAATACTGTTAACTTTTGAAGATTCAGAGATGAGCACAGTTCCTGCTATCAAGAAGCTTCTATTTTCCAAGTAAAGAGGGGGGAGGGGAAATATATCTGTGTAGTTGTACACAAGTGGTTTGCTCTAATAGAATGGTGTGAATGAAATGCTATTGGTGTACAGAACCAATTTTGTCAGGCTTAGGGATATCTTCAAAGATCAGGTAACATTTGTTCTGAGCTGAAGGCCTGTTGGAGAAGGAGAAGGCCACACTAGGCTTGGGGAACAAACAGCATGAAGAAACGCCAGAGTAGTTTCCAGGATGGTGTGTTTGCAGAAGCTCCTAATGTTGGCTTTTTAATTTGTCCTGTTGTCCATGAATAATGCAATAGACTAGGTAAACAGTTGGATAAAAATTGAAACCTCGTCCAAACAAGCCAGTAGGAAAACAGGCAAAAGACAGTGGGAAAACATAGCCAGGGAGCATAGGAAAAGATGTTCAGTTTGATTCGTCATGAGGGAATTGCTAATCAAGACCACAATGAAATGTAATTTTTCACTGTCTAGACTGGTAAGAATTTAAAAGTGACAATACCAACTGTTGCACAGAATCGCTTATATTGTTGATAGGAGTATATATTGGTTCAACTGTTTTTGAAACAAAGGGTGCCATTATCTGGTGAGCTTGAAAATAGATTTATATATATGCTGAGCCAGCAATTCCTCTCCTGAGTATTTTTGCCTAAGGGAAATTATAGTACTTATGTACCACCAGGACACATGATCACTAAAGGTCTTGGTAGAATGGTTCATAGTAGCAAAAACAAAGAAACCAAAAGCACATTGACAAGAGCGTGGATGAATAAATTATGGCACAATATAATTTGGCAGTCAGAATGAATTGGTCCACTTTTAGTGTTCGGTTTTGTTTTTCTGCTGACACATATGAACACTTGGGGCTTTGGGCTTTTTGGATCCGGCAAATTTTTATTGTGAACTAACATATGGTTGACGATCATCTGTGTGAGTTCTGAAGAGCTAGACTGAGCATGCTGCCTTCCAGAGAAAATTAGCATTTGCTTCTCTTTTGGGCCAGCTGCTATCAAACTGTGATCTCTTCAGCCCCCTTTGAGTGGCACAGCTTGGTGAAAAAGTCTCACATTCTGCATCGTTGCCTCCTTACAAGAGGCCCAAGTCTTATTCTCCATTGCAACCCTAGAGTTGATGCTTGCTTACCCTTCACCCTCAGTTCTTACTTCATTGTCCTTTTATTTTTTATTTTTTGCCTTATTTTCTTGAGACCACAATAATGCGGCATTTGTGCTAGAAGATTCATTCAGACTGTGGTTTCCCATACTGCTGGAAGTGGATTTCACTAACTATATAATATTTGACTTTATATGTCTTCCCTGAATAGTTTGTGAACTCCTTGAAAGCAAGACTCTGAAAGTTTAGAACCCCTGCCCTATATTTTGTGGTTTGTTTTTTTTAAAAAAGATTTTATTGGGGAATTGGGGGAGAGGAACAGTGTTGGGGAATTGAGGAAGGGGACCAGCCAAGTTGTTGTTCTTCAGTCTTCGTTGTGGAGGGCACCAGTCACCATCTGGCTTCCCATTGGCAGCTCGTCGCCTCTAAGCTCAGGGTGCTGTGTTCAATCTTAGTTGTGGGTGGGCATAGCCACCATCCATGTGGGAGTCGAACCAGCAGCCTTGTTGTTAAGAGCACACACTGTATCCACTGAGCCATCCTGGTGGCAGTGCAGCTCAAGGTGACGAGTTCAGTCTTAGTTGCAGGTGGGCATAGCCCACCACTGAACAGGCAATCTTGTTGTTACACCAGTTGAGCCATCCTGCCACCTGTTGGCAGCTCAGCGGCAGCTCAGCTCGGTCACAGCATCTGGCCCATGTGGGAATTGAACCGGCGGCCCTGTCACTCAAAGCTCGCTCTCTTAAGCCAACTCTTAACCAACTGAGCCACTTGGCTGGACCTGCCCTATAATTTTGAATACACATAGGCACTTGTTAATATTTTGGGAAAAGTATCCAGTATTTATTTGATAATATAGTAAGATATCTTATTAAAATACATTGAGGGTTTTTTCCATGTATTTTTATTGTCTGAAAAGATTATATACCATGACAATGAAACAAAGCCAATCCCCAAAGGATACATACTGTATATTTCCATTTATATTACATTTTTGAAATAACAAATATGTAGAAAGTGAGAACATATTAGTGGTTGCTAGAGGTTAGCATGGGGTAGGGATGAAGCGGCAGGAAGGAAGTGGGTATGGCTATAAAAGGGCAGCACAGGGATCCTTGTGATAGAATGTTCTGTATCTTGACTGTATCAGTGTCAATATTCTGGTTGTGATATATACTATAGTTTTGCAAGATATTACCATTGGGTAAACT